CCCCCCGTCTCCCGCAGCTCACTGTGGCGTGGATTGGGGTGTTCCACATCTGTCATGCGACTCGATCACCGAAGCCCGTGTCCGATGCGATGCGCATGCAGACGAGAGTAGCCGTGACAACCTCGAGGCTGGGCTGCTAAAAGCATGTCGTACAAAAGCGAGCGTTATCTACAGTCCCACATTTCGGGCGCAGTTTTTGGCTCCCGTGGCGAGGAGCTTTGATTCCCTGGGGGTTGCCTGAATACCATGTGGGCCAAAGCGGACGCCCCAGTGTTGAAGGCTTACCTAGTCCCCACGCCCGGAGGTATGCAAACCCGTGACACTGGGCTGTCGACTCTGGCCTGGCTTTGATACATCCAGTATCTGGCGTTTGCATCCTAAATTGCCTACCTACGAGGTAGCTCATTGGGAGCTACCCCCTCCCCCACCCTTCAAACCGCGCCAAAGCTCACACTTCTCAGGACAATGAGAACGCAATGTTTGTGCCCTGTCTCGTTTAAATAGGGGAACGACTGAACACCGCTTATCAGCCGCCAGTGCGCCCATGTCGTCGTGAGCCGGGCGCCCCGTGGGGCCGCGCCGGCTGCGCGGTCGGCCTGGAGACCTGCACGCCGGGGCCGCTCGAGCTGGAACAATAAACTGGCGCAGCGCGCGGCAGCGCGGGCCACAGCAGATTTGGACGTCATGGGGACCCCGCCCCCGCCGCCGGGGGACAAAGCGCCGCCTGTCGGGGCGACAGAGCGGCGGCCTCGCGAGTGCACACATCATGAAGGGACCACGGCGCCGCCCTAAAAGGCCGCCGCCGCAGCCGCGCCAGCTCCGCTCGCCGATTACAAACGGAGCTGAGCGGCGTCAGCCAGGGCGTCAGCTCCACCGGACCTCTGGACGCGGCGGGGACGGCGTGATGCAAGACGTCCCTGAAGTGCGCCTCACGACAACTTGTCACTCGCGGCCACCCCTGCAGGTTCCTGGGGGTTGTCCGGGGGTCGGGGGGTAGAGCAGCAGGCGAGCGCCTGTCCCGGTAGGCCGCGAGTTCCGTACGGCTGGCGGGCGGGCGGGCCTACCCCGCCGGGCGGCAGCAGTAGCAGGCGCTCGCAGCCCGCCCGCGCCGCCCTTGAGTCGCTGTTAGCTCCGCGACCAAAAACGATGTCATTTCATCGGAATCGCCTGGGCGCGTGCGTGCGTGCGTGCGTGCGTCAGTGGCCGCCCAGCCCCAGCGCGCGTGCGTGACCAGTCACGTTGCGGCCAACACTAAGCCGTGCGGTCACGCCGCTGCCGTGGACCCGCGCTGATCGACATGCGGTTTAAAAGCCAGGCAAAAGTCCAGTCCACCTACGGCTAGCCTACGGCTTGGGCTATCCTCATCCTCTCTCATCCACCCACACTACGCCACGCCACGCGGCGGCACGGCATCCCGTCCCCGTGACGGATAGCACGACGCGTCATTCTATTGTGACGGTGCGTGATTGTTGCACCTGCGCGCCACGGCGGCCCCTGTCTCCCTGTCCACGCCGGCCCGGCGCCGCGACGCCGACGCCGCTCCACTGCGCTCTTGTGCTCCGCTTTTTATTTTACCTCTCGCGAGCCGATGGCTCTTGGGAGCGGCCGGACCCGCCGCGCCCCACCCGCGCCGCGAGCAGGAGCAGTCCCACGGTGCGGAGCGAGGTCGCTGAAGGTGCGTCACCTGCTGGCGCGAGGAGGGTGGAGAGGGAGAGGGGTACCTGTTCAGGATCAAAACGGATCATTTTAGTGTGTGGATGCGCTCCCGATTCGAACGGGGCCATAAGGCGCCTGGTGAGAGTCCCTAGACAAGTCTATTAGATACGGCTGCATGCGGTACACGGTAGAACTACGAAATATTCCGGGGTGTGTGTGCCACCAGAACGACCAGAACGACCAGAACGAAGCCTCGGGAACCATCGGCAGCGCCCTTCGCCGTTACCGACCCCTCGAGCCTCGAGCCTCCGAGGTCGGCGGCGTTGTATAGGAAGGCACCCGTAATGATAGACTCGCGAGTCCAGCTCCCGCCCCGCCCCGCCGCACCCCGCGCCCCGCCCTGTCGAGGCATTCCGTGGTGGCTGGTGGCGCTGCGGCGGCGTGACGCGGCGCGAGGTGGCGCGGCGTGGCCGGCCCGCGCAGGACCACGCCGACCGAAAGGTGCAGTTGACACTTGAGAGCGACACTTAACTCGACCACTTTACAGTGGCGGCCGGACAGCCTGCAGTCAGACGAGCCGCCCTTTGTTCCGCCAGCACGCCCGCCCCGCCCCGCCCAACCCCGCCCAGGGCCGTCCGTCCTGGACGGAAATATTTAACCCGCCGGCTCCGCGCTAATCAGCCACCGGGGCAAGGGCACAGGAGCGAGGAGCGCGCCTCGCCGGCACCGGTCAGGATAGTTTAGTGGCTTCGACATTTTTTTTATACGTCGTGTTCATTGTCAGAGGTCTCATTCTCCTACCGAGGAGGGGGCGGCCACCGCGACCCGGATGCGCGGAGGAGGGCGTCCGTCTCCAGCAGCAGCACCTTGGTCGAGGCTTCGGCCCCGCCCGGCGGCGATGAGATTAGCGGCCCCGCCCCCTACGTGCGTAGGACACAGCCTTTTCCGTGTCGTTGCGCACGGGACGCAGACACCTCCCCCGCGGACCGCGCCGGCGGCCCCTGGGGAGCACCCGGAGGCTGGGCGCGGTCGCGGCGGTCATCTACGGCACCAGCACGGCCTCCCGACAGAGATGAATGCAGCTCGGCCTGGGTGTGGCGCCAGGGGGCACTGTAGCGCCTGAGCAGATTGAGCAGCCCGAGCGCACCTGCGGCCCCGTGCGGCCCGCGGGCTCGGCCCCTGGCTGCCCATGGCGGCTCCCTGCAGCACGGGAGTGGCCGCCGCGACAGTCCACCCGCGAGTGTGAACACGGCACCTCGCATTTCTTGGCTGCGACAAAAAGCGGGAGAACCTGGAGATATACTTTGGTTTTCATCGTAACACGCACTGATTGGAGGGGTCCTCTCGGAGCTCGCGGCCGGCCCTGCTGCCCCTCGCGGAGGCCCGCGGAGGCCCCGCCCGCGGCCGCGCAGCGCGGGTCCCACGGCCGCGAGCTGCAGCGCGTGGAGCGCGCCGCACAGATCGTGCCGCGCGACGTATTCGCGAGTGATGGCGCGGTGTGTTTGTGTCGGACAGACGGGGCTGCATGCGAGCGGGGGCGGGGCGGGGCCTCCATGAGGGCGCGCAGGGGCCAGCGCAGAGCGCAGGCCCGGCTTATCCCGCGCGGACCATTTTCACAACGACGATGACTCGGGGATAGCGCCGCGGTCCGGGGCACGCGCGGCGTGGCGCGCACAAGGACTCCCCC